CAGGGAAATGCACAGCGGGCTCAGACTGACAGTGATAAAATCTTCAGCGAGATGTTACAGGCGGTAGAGCGCTGGCATGCTGAGATAAGCCAACTCATACAGGCCAACCTACAGGCCTCCATGGCTCAGGTACATGCACATTAGATTCGGAGGGGTTAGATTGCTTCCTGTAGCTTTAATTGTAGAGCGTGGCACTAGTGACACCAACATCATGGGTTTGATTCCCAAGGAGAGGAAGTGCTGATTAAAATCCCCTGCCCCTTACTGGGGAACTGTGGTGAGAAAACTTTTTGCTAATGTTTAACTTAATGTTTGTTAGTCTATATGAAACTGTATAATTCTACAGCTCATACATACTGTAAAAAACCGAGCCACGCTTTGATGAAGCTTTATGCAAGTGTTGAGATGAAGAAAAGTCCTGACTACAGTTGCTGGTCCCTGCCCTCTGACTGTGATTGCTTTGATGTACTGACAGGCACAGGGTTACGTAGAGAGACTTGAACAAGAGATCATGGAGCTTCAGAAGAGAGATGCTGAACTACGTCAAATACTTGATACAGAGGACAACATTCACTTCCTACAGGTAAATAAAATCAAACAGCCACTCATATTTAACTGGATTTCGGTCATTCAGAAAGTGTACTTGCCTGACTGGATCAGTCAAGTCCCTTGTCAGAACCGATTTTGTTAAGTGCCTTCATTTCTTGTGCAGAATTTTCCTACACTATCTGTTGCACCAGAGCCCATGGTGCCCAAAGTGCTGATAAACCCAGAGTTTTCCTTTAGTGAAATCACCAAGACCGTCTCTGACATGAAAGAACACCTGGACAACATCTGCAAAAAAGAGCTGGGAAACATCTCCAAACGAGGTAATCATGAAGACTATAACATTTAACCACTGCGAGACTGTGAAACAGACATTTACCTCTGTTTTGGCTTTATTATATCTATGTCTAAAATGGTCAAAATAATGTAGATGGAAGAGATTGCTCTGCATCAGACACACAGACATAAAAAAGATATAATCAGCTCTGCACCCCAAATTATGGATGTAAATGCAGATGCAGAGAGGGTCATATACACTACCGTTCAGAAGTTTGGGTCGGTAAGATCTTTCAAATGTTTTTGAAAGACGTATCTTTTGCTTACAAGAGCTGTGTTTATTTGATCGCAAAAACAATAAAAACAGTAATATTGTGAAAATTCATTACAATTTTTATAAGCTTGTTTTCGATTTGAATATATTTTAAAATGTCATTTATTCCTGTAATGACAGCTGAATTTTCAGCAGCCATTACTCCAGTCTTAAGTATCACACGATCCTTCAGAAAACATTTTAATATACTAGCTCACGAAACATTTCTTAGTTTATTAGTCAATGTCGAAAATAGTTGTGTTGCTTAATATTTTTGTGGAAACGGGTACCTTTTTTCTTTGGTGAATAGACCTTAATCAGGTTAGATGCTATGTAAGGGATAAACTTACAGTTTTTACAATGACATGCGCTGTATAAAGGTCCTAGATCATGTTATTTTCACAACTTTCACAACTGTTTTATGGAGTTTTTGTCTATTTTAATTTTTCTTTTTAAAAAGACGTTTCGACAGTTGAATAATTGGTGTGTTGTTAAACAATTTAATGCAACCATTCTGAATAAAACTAAATGTATTATTTAAAACAAATCCTACTGACCCCAATCTTTTGATCAGTAGAGCATATAAAGCTATATTTTATCTACTATTCATTTATGCATTTGCATGATATTCATAACTGTTTCATCTTAGTGAGTGACATCTCTGTCTATATCCTGATTCCGAGATCTGGAGGACATTTGAATGGTGAGAGGACTTCCTGAGGTTTCATCTACACTTTATTTCACTTTATGTAGAATAAAGTATGTTACAGAACAACTCTGTATACCATATTTTCAGCTCCGATAAGAACTGATTTGCCAGAGCCTAAAACAAGACTGGACTTCCTCAAATGTGAGTGTATAGACAATTCCACACCATTAATTCATCTAATTCACTTTACAGATGATAACATATCCCCTTTTTGTTTCTTCTAAATGCTGAATGAACCTCTTTTCTCAACAATTTCATTTAACAGATTCTTCTAAACTTACTTTTGATCTCAACACTGCCTATAAAGAGCTGGTCCTTTCAGACGGGAATCACCGGGTGATCCGGAAAAGAACAACCCAGTTCTACCCAGATCACCTGGAGCGGTTTGATGGGTTTTGCCAGATCCTGTGCAAGGAGCCACTCAGCGGGATGCGGCATTACTGGGAGGTGGAGTGGAATGGTGAATTTTCCATTGGAGTTGCATACAAGAGCATTAGCCGCAAAGGTAAGAACTCAAACAGCCTTCTGGGATACAATGATAAATCTTGGAGCCTCCTATGCTCAGACTCAGGATACTCTGCCTGGCACAATAAGATGGATAAAGATCTGCTGGGTGCAGCTCGTGCCTCACGGATCGGTGTGTACCTAGATTACGCCGGAGGATCTGCATCTTTTTACTCTGTGTCTGAGACAATGGAGCTCATCCACAGATTTAAAGCCAAGTTCTCAGAAGCACTGTATGCTGGGTTTGGCGTTGGATCGTCTGTAACTCTGTGCATGCTGGAGAAGAACCACCGAACATACCACTAATAGGTTCTGAGCTGAGCTTTGACCCTGAGCTCTTTCAGACAGAATCTTGGAAGGGTGAACAGTCAAACAGGCAAAATTTAAAGAATCATATTGAATTGAAGACTCAAAGACATTTCAAGGTCACATTTTGCCATGCAAGAAAGAAAAAAATATATATTATTTTACATAAAGAAAAAGTCTACTGTTAGGATTCTTTGCATTGTGACTATTAGTATTTTCAGCAGAATTAGGCTCATTTTACCCCCCAAATCTTATTAATGTAATTCAAAATACATCCTCTCATTCTTACATGACAATTACTGATACTGCCTTTTAAAATCAATTAGTAATTAAAATAATGAAGACACTGTGCTTACAATCCTCACAGCCTTGATTTAATTTCATATCAACCATTAAATATAGTGCTAGAAATGAGAATCATCATTTAAATAGAATGGAAATGGGTGTTAAAATGGGACATTTTTTTAACCATTTTTGTGAGATTCCAAAAAAAAAAAAAGTGGCAGTAAATATGTTTAAATATAACAAAGCAGGCTAATCCAGTCAAGACAATCTCTTTAAATTATCTTTTTTTTATGATGTCATGTCAAAACCTAATACACATTCTGCAATCTTTGGGTTTAGATAAGACAGAAGATGCAGCTACATCATGAGAAAAGTGTGTATTTGTGTGATTATGAGCATGTAAATAAAATAAGCCTTCTTGTCATTATTGTTTATTGTTCATTTGAATGGTTTCTAAGAGCTTTTCAGTCATTTCACCCATCACCAAGTAAACAGAAATATGTACAGATAAGAGGAACGATCTGTCACTCTTGTTTCTTTTTACATGGATTAGAAACATTCAAATGCAAATCCAGCTTCCCCTTCAAATAACTGTACCTCTTAACTTTTAAGACATGGCTACACTTGTTTTATTAATCCCTAAATGTTGCTCCTTCCTCTCTCTTTCTTGTCTTACATCTACCCCAAGCTGTTACTGTGGCTTCATTTCCTTAAGCATAAGGTCAAACCAAAGATAAATTCTCAACGGATGAACCATGAACCTTGTCATTTAAAACAGGACAATCTTACTCTGCTCAACAGTACAGTCAACTCACAGAGGACAAGTACAAGTAGATCAGGAGCCCTGACTTCCAAAGTAGTCTCAATATTACAACAGAGGGAACCAATCATCATCATCACAGAAAAAAAAATATTCTTGTTCACCCCAACAAACTGAACATTTGAAATGGGCCTATAAATAAGTGATTGTAAATGTCCACAACCATAATGCCCCCACATGAGTGAATAGAGATCAATCTCCACTTTCATAACAATTCAAAACAAAAATGTCAGACAGAACCAGTTAAATCAGATCTGTTTTCTATTATAATTTACATATCATTTTATATTATATTTAAAAAAAAAAAATGTATGTTTTGAAAGTATTTTATGTTTTAGTATAATTTGGAATGTTTGTTAGATGCTTCACAGTTCAAATAATATGCTGGTGTGACCGTAAGCGGTTTGTTGAGTCTGAAGTATGAGTGTCCCTAAATCAAAAATGTACCTCTAATTCTATTTCTTTGCATCCAATTCAATGGTTTGAGTTGCCATTCGTATTGTAGTATTCTGTGCTGTCTGTAATTTCATCCATTTTTTGAGTCCACGTTCTAAACACTTTTTATCTCTGTCTGACCGACTGTATATCCACCTGTCTATCATATTCACCCCAAGACCCATTATAGGAAAAGAAAAACATCTACTGTAAACGCAAAAAAAAAACATTGAGGTCACCATGAAACCGGTGACACACCACTCAATAAACAGCCAATAGTTGGTGTGTAGCAGTAATAGTAAGTCAACAAGTTTATTAAAAACCATTCAACTTTTCTTCAGCTAAATCTGGCTAATAATTTAATTTTAAAAAAAGAAAGAAAGCCACTATTGTGGAAATAATTAATCTATTGAGTCTGAAGTATGAGTGTCCCTAAATCAAAAATGTACCTCTAATTCTATTTCTTTGCATCCAATTCAATGGTTTGAGTTGCCATTCGTATTGTAGTATTCTGTGCTGTCTGTAATTTCATCCATTTTTTGAGTCCGCGTTCTAAACACTTTTTATCTCTGTCTGACCGACTGTATATCCACCTGTCTATCATATTCACCCCAAGACCCATTATAGGAAAAGAAAAACATCTACTGTAAACGCAAAAAAAAAACATTGAGGTCACCATGAAACCGGTGACACACCACTCAATAAACAGCCAATAGTTGGTGTGTAGCAGTAATAGTAAGTCAACAAGTTTATTAAAAACCATTCAGCTTTTCTTCAGCTAAATCTGGCTAATAATTTAATTAAAAAAAAAGAAAGAAAGCCACTATTGTGGAAATAATTAATCTATTCACTAGTGGAAATCACAATGTACATTGTTTGTTATCTTCTAGGGAATTTGGTTCTTAAAGAGATAATTCACCCAAAATTAAGATCATTTACTCACCCTTGTCATTCGAAAACTAAATGACTTTGTTTCTTCTGTGGAAGAAATTTTACCTAAAGGTATGATATATTGCCTAAACAACATTGGACTCCACTAATTTGAATGTGTGCACATAAAACACTTTTTTTCACACTTTTTAAGACATGTTCTTTTTATTCCTCAGAAGAAAAAGTCATACAGCCTTGAACCACCATTAGGGTAAGATAGCATATTCATCTTTAGGTGAACTATCACTATATTATAACATAAATGAGATGAGCCAATGAGAGGTTTTACTAAATGAAAAGCTGCCTCCATTGTTATAGCTTTAAAAGGCTTTGCGTGATGTCAGGCTTAAATAACTTAGATCCTCCACGAGTAACAGAATCTAGCTACACACTCCCATCAGCCTGAACCAAAACCAGCATACTGACATCATACTGTACCTTAAAACAAAATACACACAGACACACACAATAGCCTCCACCAAATACAATCAGACACCACAGTCGTTCAGCTTGAGTTCAAAGGGTCTAATGGCAGAGTAGTGTCCATGTTTTGCAGCTACAGCACTCGCTGTCCATTTATGAGGACATCATCAAACTCCTCCTGTGACAGAGAAATGATAAGTACAGAAGCAGGCCATTAAGCATTCTTTTAGTCAATGTGTGTGTGGATTTGGCTCTAACCTCCTCACTCTCTGGACTCACACGGTACTCCTCCTCTTCTTCATCGTCCTGTGTGTATGTGGCCCCATGGGTACCAAGTAGGGCCTGCACCTCTTTGTTGGGTCGGTAAAGGGCACAATAGAATGGGGTGTGGCCTGCATATGAGCGCTGATTCACCAATGCGCCAGTGCTCAATAATAACTCCACTACCTCTGACCTCTGACTTTCCACCGCCCAGTGCAATGGAGACCGACCTGACCCCAAATCCTACAAAAGAGTTAGTGATTAAAAAAAAATCAGTAAGAAATTTTGAACACTCAAATTAATTATAATACAACTCCAGAGGAACCCTATGTTCTTTCATAAAAATATGGTTGTATATTTAAATTGGAGAGGTTTTTTTTAGTGTCATTGAGGTATTATTATATTTTTTTTATTAACATTTTGAATCTGTTTTTATTCTTAGATTTTGTTTTTAATTTTAGTTAAAATTTTAGTAATTTATTCTTTTGTCGTTTTTTATGTGTATCTTTTTTTTTTTTTTACTTTAAGTTATTTGAGTACATCAATTTAAGCTCAATTAAAATGAGAAATGTTGCCTTGGCAACTAGATTAAATAAAGTATGTTTTTAATACTTTAATTCAATTAATGTTTTTTTCAAAGTAACAAAAACGTTTTTACTGGTTTTCATTTTAGTTTCAGTTTTAGTTAGCTGCTATAACCCTTATTTAAATCAAAAGCTAACTTCTCACCCGTTGATTTACATCTGCTCCTGCCTCCAACAGCATTTTGATGATCTCACAATTGCCCCTATGTACAGCCAGGTGCAGTGCACTCACACCTTAAAAGAGACAGACGGACAGAGAACGGGACAGGATGCAAAACATAGATATATAAAAAATAATGGCATTATTTATAGTGAAATACATTTGCTTGAGTTTGTACCTGCATAATTGGTGGTGTTCAGGTGCACCGGTGGGGTCCGTGAGCAGGTGGTCAGCTCTCTCACACACTCTGTGCGAAGCTCTCTGACAGCCAGGTGTAAAGGTGTGTTTCCACCCCTCTCTTGGATCTCCGCACTGGCTCCAGTCCACAACAGTGCCCGAACACACTCACTCCGGTCTACGATGACTGCTAAATGTAGAGCGGTCTGAGCAAAGAAGGAGGGAGGGTGGAAAAAGTTAGAGATAGGTTGCCACTAGTGTTGCCACTCAGGGCTTGTTTGTTTAGTCAGCTACAGTTTGCATTTCCAAAGTAGAACTGTGTATTAGGGCTTGCTAGGTCTTGGTTTCTGTTTCCCTATAGCTGTATAGGCATGAGAAAATTTGAGTTGTACATGAAAGAATTTTAATTATTAAAAAAAATATTATTAAAAAAACAATTACAGGAATGCATAAATCCTTTATGATAAACACTGTAATATTCCATAAAAATAAGTATTGTAAAGTTTGCTTTTATGGTGACTTCAACAGCACGATGAAATGTATTGGTTCGTTTAATATGTAATGTTTTATGCAAAAAATAAATCACTGGAAGTAAAGCAATTCTTCTTGATCCACAGGTGCTGGCTTGTTAGAGCAGGTTGTTTATTTTTCTAGAGGGATCTGGCAACACTGTTGTACATTTACCTGACCCAGGTCATTTTGGATGTCCAGGTAAGAAATCCAGGTGTTGTCCACCACAATTTCTTCAAGCAGGCACTGAACAACACCCCACTGCTCATGAATTAGCGCCAAATGAAGTACCCTGAGAGACAAGAGGAAATGTTTACAGCCTAAATCTAATAGCCTTCCAAACTGTTCAAATGTAACTTACAGGTAATAGAAAACTACAAAGACTTACGTGTCACCGTCCTCTGACAGAAAGTTGCGCGTGTTGAAGAGCTCTTCCCTTCGCTGCCGACCCTCAGTGTTTGAAACCGCCAGTCTGTCTGAACCTGCAGGCTCGCCCAGGATCATGGTGCCGATCCCGTCGGAGAGGCACCCCACCATCGCATCCTCATTAATCGAGTCCCCTATGGCAGAGTCGAGCCTCTCTCCGCCGCCAATCGACACACAATCCACGGTACTCCTGTTGTCGGACTCGTCCGACGGAGGGACGTCAGACCGACCAGGTGTCCACATCTGTTCGGCCTCGGTGTACGTGCTGTAGGCAACCTCAAAACCGAGTCCGACCCCGCTTAAGGAGTCTAGCCCGCTGTCACACCAGTCCTCCGGGACAGAGTCCACGGCGCCCCTTTTCTCCATAGCGTAGCTCGGTCCAGGCCGTGCATTCTGTCTCCGGGATTCACCGTGAATTTCTTGCGTCCCCTCCATTTATATATGAATGCGCCGTTTAAATGATGTCAGCTGTAACAAGAGAAACGGCCTTTCCTGACAAACAACTATCTGTTGCGCCGTTTTCGCGTCTATCCAGATGGATTCCGTCTGACGGTTGTTGATGTTTTTAGGGGAACAAGATGAGCTCCTTCTGGACAAATTCCCAAACAACAGCGGCAAGCGCTGTCGCACAAGCCTCAGATTCCCTCCATGTCCGGAGCATTATAAAACTACAAATTGCTCACCTTGTGAGCGGCTTGCTGTTGGCCAGTTTGTGCAGAAAAGGCCGTGTGGCTGCGTAGGTGTTTTCCTGGGGAATTCCCAAAGCCACTCTCGTAACTAGACACCGTGCGGGACTGCGCATGCGTAGGGCTCAGAGCGCGCATGCGTTGCACTCATAATTAATTGTCTGTTACATTAGTTTCATCGGGAATTCCAACGCGTTGCGTTTGTTGGGGGAATTTCAAGTGGCTATTAATTTGAGCTGGCATCAAAAAACAAGGCGTAATCATTTGAATCGTATGTTAATTGTTTGTTTTATATTACATCTTATGCAGCTTCGGTGAGTTAAATTAATAATACCCAGATAACAATAGGAGTTTTGTTTTTGGAAGTGTTATTTTTGTCTGCTACAATTACAGTAGTTAAAAATGTATAAACTATCTATAAACTAGAAATTAGTGTCAAGTGTAAAGAGTGTTGTTGTTACAAGCCACTGCACTAGGATGAGTTGTAACACTAGGCTATAGAAAACATAGAAAACAAGACATATGTGAACCTGGACCACAAAACTCCAGTGGTCCAAAAAATCTCGAATCTGAGGGTGCAAAAAAAAAATCTAAATATTGAGAAAATCGCCTTGATGAAGAACTTAGTAATGCATATTAGTAATAAAAATTAAGTTTTGATATATTTACGGTAGGACATTTACAAAATATATTCATGGAACATGATCTTTACCAATGATTTTTGGCATAAAAGAAAAATCGATCATTTTGACCAATACAAAATATTGTTGGCTATTGCTACAAATATACCTGTGCTACTTATGACTGGTTTTGTGGTCCAGGATCACATATAACAACTTATACATAGACATAGGCCTATAAAAACCTATTTTAATACAAAATTCTAAACATCATATAGGAAACACTGTAAATCAAAACAGCAAATAAAACTAAACAATAATAACTACATTAAATAATACATGATAATATATAACATTAATAGTCAGTATGTGGATGTTAACTAGATACAGAAATACAAGTGTTAAACCCTCTCGGTCTGCACATGATATTTCTGGTTTTGTACGTCGCATAGGCTAGATGAAAAGCTGTGGATATTTATGCCGAATTGAACAAGAAAATCTGCTCATGCAAACAATCAAACTATGTCCAGATGTAAAATTATAGGTTGCTCTCTTTCTCCTGTAGATTTATTTACTTATTTATTTTTGTGCTGTAAATATGGTGTCATTTTAGGAGGATATGGTGGTCATGGTGATTTCACGATTGCAGCTCGTTGCTAACTAATAGTGTTACGATTCACCCCGTATTACAACACTCCTCAGGCCTCCTCTATCTATATTTACTATTGTCATTTCTCTCTACTGGCCCTTTTCATCAAAGTTATGAAATAAAATGCAATCTTACAGGGCAGGAAATTTAGAAAGGATAGTGTGTGGTATTTTAATCATATCCGACACCAGGTGGCAGTGTATATGCTAATTTCATATTTGTGTCGCTATATCCGGTAAACAAAAGAATTAATCCTCACCAGTGGCAGGATGATGTCATTGTTCATGTCTTTTTGTAATCTATTTTGTATTAATTAAGGAACAATCTGCAATAAAATAAAAACTCTGTCACATACTAAATCATAGTACATTTTGGATTTACATTTATATTTTTTATTTTGCAAGAAGCAGGGATAATGTTTAATATGTAAAATTGTGACTCTCAGAAAGTGTGTAGGTCCAGAAACTGCACTAAAAATGGTTAGAGGCAAGGACACTTTTTTTTGCCCTGCATTAACATGTCTTAATCATAAGTGCCACTGTAGATCGAGGGAAGGATGATTCAGAGTGACTATAAAACTAAATGGAGAAAGAGAGTGATGAAAGAAAGAGTCACTGGATATGGTGGAAAGAAACGGTGTTTTGAAGGTGACTGTGTGTGTGGTTAGGTTTTGTTTGCACTGTTAGGAAAAAAAGTCCCCACAGGAATAGGAATATAAAACCTAAAAGCCAGTGGTCTCTGCCATGAAAATAGTGTAATAAACACACTAAATAGTGTTTAATGAAAATGGTTTTTTTTGTTGTTTTTTTTTTAAGTAGAAAGGTTTAAAGCCAGGATTAGGGTTAGATGATATCATTAGCCCAGTATAAAAACAATGAAAACTCCCCAACATGATAGCAAACCAGACATGTGTATGTGCATGGGCATGTAAGAATCCTAAAAGGTGCTGAGCTGAATGGAGCATTACTGGAATTTGAGGGGATTACTGACAGAGTTTAAGTTTGCCTCTCCCTCTCTTTGTCTCTCTCTCTCAGTCTCTGTGTATCTGCATTGCAGTTTTTTCAGCAGGACAGACTCCTTATGCCTCTGATAAGAAACCCACTCCCATACACATCAATCTCCTTCTAGAAGAAAGGGAGTGTGAGACAGAGAGGCACGATAGGCATGTTTTCTCTTTGACTTATAACTTGATCTCCTGCCCATATTCAGACGCCCCTGCGCCTCTCTGTGCTCCACTGCTCTGTCAATTGCTCATTGCCTGGACTGTTTCCTCTCTTTGTACTGTACCGTGAGCTGTGCTTTGCTCTGTTTACTGTGACGTCTTTTGTGCTGTGGTCTGTACTGTGATGGATTTTCACAGCCTCTGTCAAGAGCAATTAGGAAATAAGATTAGCCCTGCACTTAATTTATGCAGCCTTACATAGACCACCTATTGATCTCAGCATGGGGCTATGTGCAATATACTCTTTAAGAGAAGATGTCTTTTTAATTATATAATAATAGGATGTAATTATTATCGAAGAAAATATTTAACTGATATTATATTTCTACAAATTATTCTTCTCTTCTAAATACATGGCATTATGTTAGTCCCCCCTTTGCAGCTATAACAGCTTCCACTCTAGTGGGAAGGATTTCCACAAGATTTTGGAGTGTTTCTGTGGGAATTTTTGCCCATTCATCAAGCATTTGTGAGGTCAGACACTGATGTTGGATAAGAAGGCTTGAGCTAATTATGTGCTGTATGTAATTTGATCAATGTTTATACGTGAATAAATGCGTAAATTAAAATCTGTTTATCATATAAAGAGGCCGATCATGACTTGTAGAAGACTTTTGTGTAACACTTAAGGTGACATTTTCCAACCCTTATGTTATCCTTAGGAAAATGACAGTTAAGGGGCTTTATGCAACACTTAATGAGTTTTAAGGGATACTTAAGAGAAATTCTAAGGGTTTATGACATTTCACCTAAAGAAACCCTTAAGTAACATTTAAGGGATATTTTATGCAACGCCCTTAAGTGTAAGGGAAACTTAAGGGCGATCTTAAGGGAAAATGACACTTAAGGTGCTTTATGCAACCGGGCACTGGCTCGCAATCTCTGTTCCAGCCCATCCCAAAGGTGTTTGATGGGGTTGAGGTCAGGCTTCTGTGTGGGCCAGTCAGGTTCTTTCACGCCGAACTCATCCAACCATGTTTTTATGGACCTTGCTTTGTGCACTAGGGCAAGTCATGCTGGAACAGAAAAGCACCTTCTCCAAACTGTTCCTACAAAGTTGGAAGCATAGCATTGTCCGAAATTTCTTGGTATGCTGAAGCATGAAGACAATTTTCTTCACTGGAACTAGGTGGCCTAGCCCAACTGAGAAACAGCCCCATACCATTCAGCATTATCCTGTACTGTTCAAATTTGCCTAGGATGAGCATGCCGATTATTTAAATGGAGGAGAGGAGCTGTAGGAGAATCCCTCTCTAGGGGTGGGGTTGAGCTTTGATGGGGGGGTGATGGTGAGTGCTGAGCTGCAGACCAGATCTGCTGCCTCTGCACTTTCCTCTGGTCATTCCTCAAGACGCACACACACACACACACACATCGCTTTACACACAGACTATAAGAGGCTCCTAATCTCAGTAACACTCTCGGTAATGTATTAACTCTGAATCTGCACTGCAGAGTGCTGCACTGCGTTATATACAATCAACAGTCCCACACAAAAGAACAATATTTGTAAAATACATCCCAGCCCTGTAACTGGGGAATTGTATCTAGACTGCACAAAAGGACCCCTTGCCTGGAGTGCAGTTTTATGGTGTTTATAAAGAATATTTTAAACTGCTTGGTTTGTTTACAGCATAAAAAGCCTCTGGACTTGAAACGGTGTGCTAGCTTGTGAATGTTTAGTAGAGGAAAACTAGCTCAGCCCACACAGTCAGAGTCCATCTCAGCACTGCAGAGGACACTGAACCAGACTCAAGGAGTCCAGTATAATTAACACCCTTTGTTCAGAATAACAGCAATCGTCGTTTTGTCATCTAGGTGTGTGTATAATCAAATACTCATCATATACCTTGCCGCCCAGTAGAATATTAGTTTGTATAAAAGCAGCATTAACCAGGCTCTATACAGTCTGTGTATCTTCAGTTAGTAGTTGCACATTTAAACGTAGTGTTTTTTTTTTAAAGCTGATATTGATGATGAAGCTCATACTTATTTGAGATAAGGTGAGCTGTATTTGTGTTATGTAACACTGTTCCAGCTGCTATACCTGACTGCTCCTATCCTCTAATTCACAGAGACGCTGCCATCTTGTGCTCTCTCCCTCCGTTTCACCTTTGCTTCGCTTTTTTGTACAGCTGGCACACTCACGTTTTTTTTTTTTGGCAGGGACTTTCCATTGACTTATATTGTTTTGATACCAAGATAATGATATTTTCTGTGCCTAAGGGTGTGTGATATTGTTAAAAAAATATATTTAAAAAAAAATCTGTAATTTTGTCTATAACAATAAGACAGTATTTTTTTCTTGTTAGGGCCCAAGCACAGATGGTGCGAGGACCCTATTGGAATTGTTCAGTTTCTTCTTCTTTTTCTCCAAAATGAACCACATTTTTGAGGGCCTAAAACTAGCTCGAAAACTCATGAATCTTTGCACATGCCACAGAAGTGGCAAAAATTTACATCTGATATGGGTTTCAGAAGTGGGTGTGGCAAAATGGCTCAACAGCTCCACCTATAAAATTTCAATGAAGTGCCCCTCTAGCTATGTTTCACATACATGTACGAAGTTCGGTAGACACATGTAACATACCAATACCTACAAAAAAGTCTGCATATAGGAAACACTGTCATATATCAAGTCTGATATTTCGAATTTTCTCTGCAAGTTTTGTGCCGTTTTTGCCATTTCAGGCGTTGTATTTAAATGAACTCTTCCTGGAGTCTTTCTAGATC